GCATTATGGGGTGCTAATGTAATTATTGGATTTTCAGGGAAAGTGTTGATCTATTGGTTAGGCACAGAGCCATTTCTTTACATAGCAGATCCAGAATTTCTGAAGCAGATGTCTTCAGACATAAAAGGTAAAAGCTGGGGCAAACCCACTGTTTTCAAGAATGACAGAGAGCCCATGTTTGGCAATGGTCTCGTTATGGTCGAAGGCGAAGACTGGGTTCGTCATCGCCACGTCATCACTCCCGCCTTTTCCCCTGCCAACTTAAAGGTATACACACACATATACATATGAAGAAAATTTAGATGAAACTATTTGTTATATATAATTTATTAAGACATATACATTTTTATATATTATGCAGGCTATGTCGAGCCTAATGGTGGATTCCGCGACGAAAATGCTCGACAGGTGGGCCCTACTAATAAACTCCGGAAAGCCGGAAATCGACGCGGAGAGCGAAATAATCGGGACGGCGGGAGAAATAATAGCGAAAACGAGCTTCGGCATAAGCTACGAAAACGGAAGGAAAGTGTTCGAAAAACTACGGGACCTCCAAATGGCGCTCTTCAGAACCAACCGCTACGTAGGTGTGCCCTACGGGAAGTTCTTGAACCCTAAAAAGAATCTGAAAGCCAAAGCGCTCGGTGAAGAAGTCAACGAGCTCCTCCGCTCCATAATCGTCGAACGGAGCAACAAACAGAAAGAAACGGGTTCGCCGGAAAAGGACCTACTCGGGTTGCTACTGGCGGAAGATGGGCGGAAAAAGAGGGCGTTGAGCACCAAGGAGCTGGTGGATGAGTGCAAGACATTTTTCTTTGGGGGACACGAAACGACAGCGTTGGCGCTGACGTGGACATTGCTCCTACTGGCGGAGCACCCCGAGTGGCAGAGGGAGCTTAGGGAGGAGATTAAGGAGGTTATGGGAGGAGAAGGGCCGGACAATTTTGATGCATCAATGGTTGCTGGACTAAAGAAGGTAATGTTTTCGATTTATTTATATTATATATCTATATATATATGTGTATATATATATATATATATATATATATGTTAGGCATGCACGTTGTTTTGCTATAATATTATTGAGGTTTTGCTAAGAATGGAGGGAAATATTTGAAATGAAATGGAAAGTTTGATGGGTGGTTTACTAATTACCTATTTCTTTCTGTGTTGGAAGCCACCATGCACATATAAAGTAATTTAATTAAAAATGAATATATCAGATGTAATTAATCATAAAGTTATTTGGATTGAACTATTAATTTACAATCTTAGCTAGGGTTTGAGAATTACTATAATTATTAATTAAGTCACTTTCTTGACAAGTATGCATGATTTGTTTTGTATAAAATATGTCATATTTATAAGTTATTTTCCGTACTCTATATATATGATGTGTAGGGTTGGGGGTGTCGACCGTGTATGTACGGATCATAAAATAGAAAATCAAAAGATGCAAGTATTATATTTTTTGTTGTCATTATTTATTACATGAAATATTGAATTCCACCGCGTTAGAGATTGATCTACTGTGGGATTCACACCTGTCATGCATGCCACGTGGCCCCCCCACTGTGGCTTAATTAGTTTGACTATTCCTCTCTCTCAGGTGAATTATATTTATACCCAACTGAAAACGACCGCCGTACGCGGCCGCATAACCACCAAACTCCCCAACCCCAAATTAAATATAAGGTCTATGTGGATATTCCTCGGCTTCACCGACCCACCAAATTTAGTATTTTAAGCTACTAAACTAACAACCAATAGTTAATTAATTGGATCCACTAAAAAAGAAACATTTTAGTTGTATTTAATTGAGTTTCTTAACTTTTCAATTTTTTGTTCCTTGTTTGTTATATATTTCACATGTGATCGAATTGGGAATAATTATATGTTCCAATTTGCTATGCGCAGATGGGATGGGTGATGAATGAAGTTTTACGATTATACCCTCCGGCACCGAACGTACAGAGGCAAGCAAGGCAAGACATTCGAGTGGGGGATACAGTAATTCCAAACGGGACCAACATGTGGATCGACGTAGTGTCGATGCACCACGACGAGAGCCTTTGGGGCAAAGACGTAAATGAGTTCAAACCGGAGAGATTCAAGGAAGATGTATTGTACGGAGGGTGCAATCACAAGATGGGTTACTTGCCATTTGGATTTGGAGGGAGAATGTGTGTTGGTAGGAACTTGACAAACATGGAGTACAAAATTGTGCTAACCCTAATCCTCTCTAGGTTTTCGTTTTCCCCATCGCCTAATTACTCTCATGCCCCTTGCATCATGCTCTCCCTCAGGCCTATGCATGGCCTCCCTCTCATTTTTAAACCTCTACAATAAGTGATATATACATAGATAATTATACACCAAATGCGTAGATTATGTAGTTAATTTCTTATCCCGGTATCAAATTTTTGGGGTGAGATGATGAGTGTTTCTAGTGTAACTAGGCTAATTCTAGTCCGTTCATCGTCCAAGAACGATGATCGATATTGTTGTTATTGTAACTAGTATTAATGCAATAAAAATTAAAAGTTTTGATATATATTTCTTTTAATTGTTTTGAGTATGAAGGCTCTGATATTTTCATTGTGTACTTTATTGAATATCACAGATAAAATTAACCATGTGGTCAAACCTACTTTTGAATGGTCAAGTTCAGGCCAATGTACTATAATCTTGCAATCGTTGATTAACATATGCTGTTATATGCAGCATCGTTGTTGACAAAATTCACGTGATTGAATGTTTCTTTCACACATCAGTTCAAGATGGACGATTATATTAGCATGACTATGAATCCCGAAAGAAACGGTACTTAATGTATGAGAACTTTCATACAAAATTCTTGAGGTTGTCGTTTACTTCATATACATTCAAGAACGTATATCGTTGCTAAGCTTATCCTTCGACATACCCAAAGAAAACACTGTCCCTTTCTTATTGTTGGGATTGGATTGCATCCCAAGTATGTTAGGTGGCCCTAGAAATGCAATTAAATTGTAAATATTACATCCTAGGGACAAACTAGCTAAATCTGAGATTTAATTGCTACTTGAGAAAATTGAGACTTGTCGTTTCCGATTAATGCTGGTCGTAGATCATCCTTACTTCACTCCTTTTCCTCTCCTAATCGGAAACTTAGTTCATCATGATTTATAAAGCTAGTAAGGTAGCTTTCTTACATTGTGAATGGGTTTGTGTACAGAAGCAATAAATACCTCAGAAGAGAGGTAGACTTGGAGGGAACCGAACACTCATCCATTGTTTCTCGTACGATACCAGGTGGGCCCATCCAATTTCCTCCAGCAATGAGATCTTCAGATCATAAAATTTCTTCTTGGGAGGTGAGCCATCTTCTTGGATCATGTCACTTAGCACCTGGTTTAAAAAGTCAGACAAGGAGCAGCATTAATATTCTGTTCAACTTGAGATGATAAAATGCATGTATGTAGTCTTTGAGTTAGTTCTAAAATAAGACGGGGATATAGTTAACGGAGATACAAACTGAATTTTTTTAAGAAATATATTGATGGCAGTATCAGCAACGCATGTACATCTTGTAAGAGAATGGGGCAAACACTTCACTTACCATCAAGATATATGATTAGAAGATAATTCCATTAAAATATAGATAATTCGTCTCCAGTTCAACATATAGATAATTCTATGTACACAATTTTCTTATTTAGTACTCTTCAGGGTTTGAAATGACTGCACATCAAATTTGTCGGCTTGGAAATTCAGGCATTGGTTTCGTGTCATGCAATGGCAAATTATTTTTTATCCTAAATCTAATTACATCAATTAAATGTTATTAAAAAATTCAGTCTAAAATATGGAGTACCTTTAGTGCGGTTCCAAACCGCCCTTCACGTCTCTCACGTATAACGAAGATGGTACCATATTGAGAGGATTTCACACCCACCCATTTCTGGAGTTCTTTGAAATTCTCTTCAAACAAATCTGGTTGAGCACTAGAGCCTTCGTCAGCTTTAGCATCCTCTTTATCCACAACTTTCTTACCCTGCTACCACAATCATGAAAAGACAATGTAAGAAATTTGATATCGTGTAATGCTCTAATCAAATGGCGGTGAGTTTTCACAAATAATTGAACTTGATTAAATGAAAATGAGAACATAAGTCATCAAGAAACAACAAGAAGTATGCTTATGGCAATTGTCCTGTGAGAGTGCACAAAAAACCAGAGGCATTTTGCCCCTCATGTTATGTAAACTCCCACTCACCCACAGCCCACCCATACCTGCTGTTGGATTTTCAAACTTCCCGAGTATGTATTTCAAAAGTTCAATTCACGTGCATCACACAAGTTTTATCAGATTGTATCACAGAGAATCATGTGCATGTACATAATACTGATGCATTGATTGATCAAATAGGCTAAGAGTGTTATTTTCCCATGTCCATTTCATTATATGATACACTATGCCCATTGTCATGCAATTTACGAGATATATAATGCAGGAAATCGTGCATATTGAATTGATTTAGCAGCTAGTAATCCAAACTGTAAGCACTGTTGTCTGACTCTTTGATGGATCCTTACCTTCAGTAGTTCAATCTCTGCTAAAGCCAATCCTTTCTGATATAAAGCATCAGCCAATTGGTCACGGGTGGTATCCATTTTCTTCTTCGTTTTCTAGGTTATGAATCAACATGTTATAACAAAGTTTGATCTCATATTACAGTAAAAATATAAAAATAAAAAAATAAAAAAATAGAAGTTATATGCTCACTTCTGCACCCTCTTCTTCAGGATCACTTTTAATCGAAAAATATTTCGCCAACTCATCTGTATCAATGCTTTCAATAACCTCATCTGCAGCACCAACAATCTGCAAATGTAGAGTGATACTAGAACTCAAACACAAAATCCGCAGTATTTGTATCTATCATATGAAAGGACTACATTAACTTATTGCTTCTGATATATCTGGAAACTTCAATACCAAAGATCTGTTTTGAGACTTCAATGCAATTTGAAAGTTACTTGCACAATATAGTAATATATGCCTTCTTATTTGAATTGCAAGAAACCAGTAAGAAGAAATAAAGGAAAGTTTAGATTACCTCTTCATAATGTTGAATTTTGTCTTCAAAGTTGTTCTGGGATATCAAAGCTTCCAATATTTTAGCAAGCAACGGTGTATATTTTGGGTACTCTGACTGCCAAAGTGTCAACGGGTTTGATGATTAAAAAGTAGTTTAGCATTCAAATTATATGAATCCATGGATCTACGAATTCTAAAGCAATATATTATATGGCATATAAAATTTTAAATAACACGACAAGAGTCACAGAAAAAACATGATATACATTGCAAGTGAGAGAGTATAAAACACTCTGTTCCCGTGTAATACATAAAGCTCAACCCAAATGCCTGAGAGAGCCAAAGGTGGAGAGTGATTACCTTAAGTGAGATTGATAACTTTTTCCAATCAGCACGTCCCTCATCGGTACTTTGTTTTATGTTGGAGAGAACCCTTATTTTGGCATCCCGGATCTGGTTGGCAATATGAGTTCCAAATTAAGCATTGAGGGAATTCAGAAAGTCAAAAAGCGTTTGAGATACAAAAGATAACTGAAATTAACCAATAATGTAATATATAATAGAAAGCAACAATAACTGCAATTCAAGTTGGATAACGAATGCTATTCAACTGCACTACGTTGAACCAATACTGTAATATGTCGGATGATGCATAATTTGCCTTCTCTTCCTATTGTTCTAATTCGAGTTTCTTTACTGCTCTTTCCATATCAATTTTTTTTTCTCTCAAAACCTTCTCATTTTTCCTATTTCCTTTGAAGGTTATGTTGGAGGCAAAGGAAGGGTTCAACATAGCGGGTTAATATAGACTGAAAGGAAAAATTCTGGACAAATGCACTGAAAGGTTTAAACGCCATGAACACAAAATCCAACACAATCTACATAAAGAATAACATAAACTTTTCATAACTGAAAACCCATTGTTTTGCTAACTAAAATCTGGTAGTACCTCTTCCTCCAACTGTTCAGCCACACTCTTGGTGCAACTTGACGAAGAGCCTTTACCTTTGTCCACATCAATCTTTCAAAGAGAAAACGTGCTCAATGTCATAAAATAGGAAGAGATAATACCATAAAGAAAACCATATCTTATCACTAAAGATTTAGCATAAAATTCTATCTATCCCTCAAAAATCAGAATGAGATGAATGCAGGAAGAAAAGAAGATTTAGTTACCGGTGTTGGCGGAACTATATAAGATATACTATACGATACAGGGTTCTTTTCTGGATTCTTCCCCTCATTATTAACCCCAAAAGAAACCTTCCCATATGAAATTGCCCCAACCAATACAGATCCTGCTGCAACGCCCTGCAAGTACAACAAAACATTGAGAGTAAGGGCAGTTGCCCGGCTTTGCTGGAAAAGAAGATAAGATAAGATAAGATCACAATCAAATTTTGGATAAATTGAAAAGCTTCAACTGATGCAAACCTTGGGGAGCTTATCCTTTGCAGGAGGGGCCACATAAAATGCTTCCTTTGCTCTATCATCAATAAATATACAGTAATTGACAAGTCGACAGGAGATTGATTGATAATAAAACTTATGGAAGCATAGGAAAAAAAAGAAAAAAAAATGTAACTAAAGCATACCCAGGAATCAAAACTGAAGACTTAAAGCTGCTGTTACCAATTACAGGGCCATCAGGTTGTGTATAAAAGCTCAATTGAATGGATTCCTGTATTTGAAAATTGTATTAGTCAAACCAAATATTTCCAAAATATATATAAATATCTGTGAATTGAGAAGAACATTGAACCTTTGCTTTACTGATAAAAAAGGCAATCTAACATGTTAGCCAGTTGACATTTCGTAAAGGTAACTTACCTTCTCATCCAATTTTTTCTCAATGAATATCACTAACTGTTTCATCTTCTCCAAATACTGCACATTGTCATGCCTGAAAAAACGACAAGTAAGAATGTAAAGACAGTAACCAAATCCCCCAAGCTCTTACACTTGGTAGCCTTTCCATACCTCCTACAGTTTTAGTCTTCTGAACCTTCAATCTAACTAGCCCCACATAATAGATATATAGAAAAGGATTATCAGTTACACACCTTAAGTAAAGCTGTAAAGTGTATTCACCCTTGGGAAGTTTGGCAGTTTCCGGATAAACATCACCCATTGCATACACCCGCTACATTTTATAATATAAATGATTAGGACAGGAAAAACATCACATCATAGAAAGAAACCATGTTTAAGTAAGAAGTTGTATTATTGGTGACAATGCAAGGATGAGGTTTTGTGTACATAAAGAAATATCGTGGTAAAATGAAACCAGAGAGCAGAAACAGAATATAATTTGGATTGGAATGCTACAAAAGAAATATGTTGGTAAAATGAAATCAGAGAGCAGAAACAGATTATATAATTTGGATGTCAATGCATGGTTGATAATGGCAATAACTTTTCTGATGCAGTTTGGTTATCCAGTGTGCAAATGTATACATTAACCCAGAAAAAATGGCATGTCCAGTTGACTTTCAAAAATAAATCTCAAATGCCCACAGCAACTGATAAAAATATAATTGTGAAGATTGCATTAAGAATGTAAAAGAAAGATTCCATATTCTGTTTAGAGTATTTACATACAAACTGGATGTAAGTTTATGCATGTTGAGGTCATTATGGTATTATCTCTTCCTATCTGTTTACAGTATTTACATACAATAATATTTTAAATTATTCGAAGAAGGATCCAACAGAGTGCGATGTGAATGAAATGCAAAAGACAAATATCATGAGCAATATACTACAATTATCTCTTTCCTGGTGAGAATAATATATTAAATAATTCATAGAAGGACCCAAAAGTTTGCAATATGAATGAAAAGCAAAAGACAAATATCATAAGGAATACAATACAATTACCCAATGTGAAAGAAACACGACTCACCTTGTTTGTATCCGATATCATATAAAACTGAGCCTCAAATTTATTGTCATATATCCGATTGTTTAGTAAAGGAATATAAGGCTTTATCTCAGCACCCTCTTCAAACTTGAACTTATAACTGCATCATGACAAGAAAAGCTCTTTTAAATACATTTCTAAGCCCAGCCAGATTAAAAAGAGGAAGTAATCTTGTAAAAGGAAAACCCACGTTAATAAGAGCGCTAGTGTCTGTTTGCCTGAAGGCAGTTGGTCCCGCTCTGCCGAAAGCGTGCTCAGTTTAGAATCAACAGGACGATATGGGATTCTCACCTGCAAGTATTTTATGCATGAAAAGACATAAAGAATTGCATAGAAGAAGACTAACATAATAAATATGAAAAATAAGATTCCGACAACGACTATGATACGAAGAATCAGATTAAGGCAGCCAACAACTCGCACCTTATTTAGTACAGCAGCCGGGGCAAGATTCTCCAACAAAAGAAGAGCTTCAGCATCAACACGTACAGGTGCTTCACTCCCATCGAGTATGATTTCCTGTTTGTTGATGCTGATGCCATGAAATTCAATCTGAAAATTTGCATTGAAGTTCACACAAAAAATAAGTATTTCCATATTTTAACTCAATAACAATAGAGATACACCATGTTATCATAACAAATTGAAAATGCTGAGTTAAAGAAATAAAACTTTCTGGATCAAACAACATCTAGTTGAAAGAAAAGTATATACCTCATCTATGCAGAAAATATCAATTAGGCCAGAAGTATGAAAACAAATAGGACCTTCAAAATGGTGAAAGGGATAACTAAGAAGCGACTTCAGTTATTAGCAGGAAAGAATATTACCTCAAAATCTACACTTGTTGTATCATGGCTTCCTACACCACTCGACCAAAACTGAGCAATTGCTAGTTCCATGGTTCGGCCACCCTCAACCGGAAAGGAAAAACTTTTGGAAGAAGGAGAGGAAAAAGTGGCTACGCTTTCCCATTTAATGGGTCTTTGAAGTGGAGAGATCTATTTATCACAAGCATGTCAACAAACTCCAGATAACATTTTGCTTGAAGATTGAGGCAGGGTAAGGAAAGAGAATCACAATCCAAATCTATACCTGAACAGAGTCTATGAAAAATCTTCGAGCTGTACTAAAACCTGATGTTTTCATGGTTACCTCAACCCAGGTGGCACCAGTTGGTACTTCAACAAATTTCCGTTCAATGTGACCTACATCAGATGGGTAAAACAAATTGACAAACTTTAAGTCACACAAATAACACAGTCAAGCGACAAAAGAAAAGAAAATCAAACAGATTGAAATGAGTTACTAGATCTTTGCAAATGACTACTAACCCTAGGCAAATATAGATTTCAGAAGAGTAAAAGAGCAACTTCTCACAATGAAAATATTGAACTCCAACAGGTTTTATTCTATAATTTTCCACATAAAACCTCAACCCTCTGCATAAACTCTTTCTTTTCTACTTTAAGTTATGAAGTAAATTTATTAAAGGCGCAAATACTAAGTTCTTTCAAGGTAATAACACAAAGTTCATGTATGCATGATACAGGGTATACATGGTGAAAGCATGATCCCTTTTGCAGGTCCTCTAGGACAATGACTTAGCTTTGATAAAGCCATAAACAAAGATGAAGTAGAAAAAAAAACATAGAAGTGCCAAAGTGCTTCTAGTTTAGATAAAGTGATAAACCATTCTCACACTTCTATGTTCTAACCGGGGTCATGCTAAACACGTCTTGAAGCATGATCCCTTTTGAAGGGTCTCAAGGTGAAAATTTTACACTAGGAATATTCAACTCCCTCCTACGCAAACAAAGACTATAAACACGAGGAATTCAGTAATTATAACAAGTACAAACACGAGTCTACCTTTTCGACTGTCATTTTAGATTATGATATACCTGGTACAAATGACATCCCCTTGAATACGGTCAGTGGAGGACGACTTTTCACAGCTTGAGGCTTTGTGATAGTAATAGGAATTCTGAAGAGAGGACCACGCCATGGAGATTTGCAGTCTATTGCATAGACTTCATAATAATGTAAACCATCACTGAGAGTGGTAGGATCCACGATAATGCTGAAAAATGAAGGATAGGGCACGTATTAGAAACTAAAACACAGTCAACTGTTATGAAGATGACTTTGAATGTCGCCAGATGGCATAGCCACATGGAACATATCTTACATAAAGAGAACCTTGCACAGGTCAGTAGTAAAACAAATAACTAAGTGCATGCTGTTTGCCTTAACTTACACAAAGAGTTACAACATATTTAGCTCTTGTAGCATAAATATTCCCAAGTCGACCGCATAGAAGTACACCCAAGGACTGATACATAAGTTATCTACCTATCAGCCTTTCCGTGCAATCACAAACCTCACTCATAATTAAACTGGGACGTTTAAGAATGGGGATTCTCTTTCCATAGTTCAAAATAGAAAAACAAACAGAGCAAGGCTACAAGGCAATAGAAGCCCTATTTAAGCACAGCACACACCAGCAATAAGTATACTAAGATCACAAGGGTCATTAACGAAAGTCCTTCACACTTGCACCGGAAATTTCTGATTAGTCTCATTCAAATTTTGATGTTAGTACAAAACAGTAGGTAATGCAACAGTGATATCTGGATATAGGTTAATAGTACTACAAGGTTGGTCATTGACATATATGTAAGCATCTTAAGATTTCAAGTATTTCAACATTTTTATACAAAAAAAGGGATCATGTGAGCATAAGAAAACTACAGTGCAGAATCATCTGTCCACTTAAGCACCCATATTCCCACCCAAAAGAAAGAAAAAGAAGAAACGAAATAAGAGCATCCCAGAATCTATGCTATCACAAACACGGTTACTGAAAAGAGGTAGCATTGAGGTGCAAACTAACTTGAAGTCGCGACCGTTATGAGTTAGGAGAAGATACTCTGGAGCTTTGACCACTCCCTCTCCAGTGGAATGTAACTTTATACACTCTTCAAAGGGAACAAGTTGCTCTAAGTTGCTAGCATCATCATGGAACTTTGGTTCCACTTTCACCGTCCACTAAGACAACAAAGTTATTACAACTCAACCACAATAAGCAAAAGAAAGAAAATAAACAAACCACTGTCAATACATTTATATGGGAAAAAATACTCAATTATTATCCTAATAGCTGATCGCCAATTTCTAAGATCAGTATTTCAAATGCAGGGTATCTGTCAGTATAAACATGCATATCTCACGTAAATACATCAAATCTTTACGTATTTAAATGCCTAATATCTGTTACTTTTATTTGCTATTTTTCCATGCAAGGCACTAACTCGAGTTACAGTAATTCAAGATGTATGCTTTGCCAAAACAATAATTTCCATAGCAAAATTTGAGGGTCAATTGGTCCAGGTTGAACAAATATCTAAAAGTACAGAGACAGAGAAATATTATTCGAAATCCACGCACATTTTTTTATAAAAATTAAAGCCTCATATAAGATGTTGGAACTAAAAGGACAAGGAGGCCATATTGTTGAATGACCACCTAACCAAAAGCTTAAGCTGTTAGTGAAATGTATCAGTTAATATTAATATTTCCAACACATATGTATATTGAGCAATAAAGAGGCAAGGACAACTATTAATATGCATGCGTATATGTTGGATTTCTCCCATGGGAAGAATCATAACTACTGAAATATAAAATCCTGGAAGACCATGAGAAAGCAGATAAATTTAATCAGTGAAACATCCCATATGAGAATTCCTTACCTCAGTCGACCGTTGACAAAAATCAGCCTCCCTGAGATAGATGCCTCGTGATGTAGGTGCTGAATATAAAAGATATTTTAAAAATAATGTTACACGGTGATCATTGGCAACATGACCATAAAACAAGAAACTCTCACTAACTAAATACAATAAAACCCAAAAACAGACTACCAAGTACTTGAATCATGTTCACAAGAACTATTTGTGCAATGAATTTATGCATTGCAACATTAACGACATGTATGACAAAGAAATACACAGAAAAAGGTTTGCCCACCTGATTTTCCAGATTGGGTTATCTTTATTTGATACCGAACAGATGGGACAGCATGCAACTTTTGAATGTAATCATAAGCCCTGCCATCCAATCATGAAAATTCCCAAATCACAACATGTTTTAGAACTTATTGCAGGTAAAGATCAGAAGTTCCAAATCGTAAACCTAACTTGTCAACTTGCATCAACCCTTGTCCAGCAGATAATTTATCTTCAGGAGAACCACCCACTGGGATACATGTATTTTCAAGAGCCTCCCGTACACTATAAGGACTCACTGGAAGGTGTTCAGCCTGAAAACTTAAGACATTCATATCCGAAGACGAAAAAGGATTTCAAGATGAAAAAGCAATAAAAATGATGTTAATAAACAATAAAAACCTTCATGGCACTTAATAGCAGAGCAACCCCTCCACAAGCACATGGAGATGACATTGATGTTCCATTCATAAACATGCGATGTTGAAGAGTCCATGTAGGAACAGGAGCCATGGCACCACCAGCAGCACTTATAGAGACTCCAAGATCCCCATCAACTGTTGGTCCTCGACTAGACCTGCATCACTTTCAACAAATGAGTTCAAATGCAAGTAACACACAACGAGATTACTGCATAGAGATTTCTAGAAACTACTGAAGATTAATATTACAGAACTCAGCAGTAGACAGCAATCCAAAATGAATCGGTCGATCAGAAACTAGAAATTACTGAAGATTACCAGGTATATTCAAGACCTTCAGGAGGAGCTTCAACCAAGGTGTGGGCTCCCGCAGCCATTGCAGGCGAAACATATGCCCCGACTCCTATTATACTTGATGTCGTACCACCTGGTGCACCCACGGTGCTCAATGCTGGTCCATTGTTACCAGCGCTACTGATGAATATCAGCCGGTGCTTGTTGACCACCTAAATATTTAAATAAGAAAAACAACTACATGATCCAGTGCAATTGAACCAAGCTAATCCAAATAAAATCAATTGAATATCTTACTTCATTTACTAAGTCAACAAAGCGACCGTAATCTGGAAGCAAAGAGGGTTCCCCATAACTCATGTTTATAAGATCACATTTGTGCTGCAACAATGACAGAAGATTAATATCCCAAGAGTAGATAAATTGGCGAATCAGAAGCTTGAATATCGAATGTATATGCTAAAGTAACAGACTCGACGGTAAAAGCAAAATTAAAGATTGCCATTCGTGCTGTGATGTAATTAGCACTGAAAGATGTCCTTTCTTCAATAAACATAATCAGACAAGTGAAACCTACATCCACAGCCGCAATCAGTGCTCGAACCAAGCCTGTCCCAGTTTCCATCGAACCTAATCGTGAATCTCCAATTTTGCATGAAATCAGCTGTGCTCCAGGCGCTACTCCATTTAACAGAGGTTCCTAAATGATGAAAACTTATGGTAAAAAATGCAAATACATAACTGAGAATGAGTTAGTGAATGATGCCTAAACTAGATTACCTTTGAATGGTAAGCAGAGGTGATACCAGCAACATGAGTACCATGAGGAGAACTGTCCGTAACAATGCTTAAAATATTGCCTTCATTGTATATATTAAGTACACATGTACATGCATCTAATTTGCTGAAGATGCCATACTTCCTTTCAAGCCTACAATAAAGGACAAATGATTATTTTTATTTCCTAACGAATGTAGTGAAATGCTAATTGAAGTTTTGCCAGCTTGATACTTATTCAAGACAATGAATCTGTTATGGTTTCAGTAGTCGATTCATCGCAATCAGATAATTCATGGTGATTAACAACTCCATACACTTGGAGACTAGCATCTAAACAGCTAATTGTTTAAGATGCACCTAAACAGTCACATATAGATATAAAAGACATGCTAAATAAATTTACTGTAAGAGACTAAAATACCTATAATTAGTAAGAGGAAGAAATTCAGCAAGCTTCCCGCGTTCTGGTTCATCCTCAAGACTTTGTGTGTCAAGAGCAGCCCTCCAAACTTCTCCATCATGCCATACAACAGCATCTATAACAGGTCCTTTATCATCATAGCTCTAATAACATATAATCATGATCAAGCACTACACAAGTGGTAAAATCTTGATTACAAGAAAATAAGAAAACAAGCGTGGATAACAGAAAATTTACATCAGCCAGCTTGCGTAGTAGATCAACTCTACTCTGGAGATCTTCCCGATTCTTCTTCATGTTTGTGTCATCAACCTTTGTGTGTTTCTACAAGTCAAGTTGACATAATGGATGAGTGAAAAGAAAACAAATCTTTCACATAATCGTTCGATGGAAGAAAACAAAATGATGGAGCTAGGCATATCAACTTGTATAATAGTTTCATCAGTAAAGGCTCAAATAATAGGATCTTGCAGGGGGGTAAATGGAAAAGGGAAAAGGGATTAATGAAACAACTTTTTGTTACGAATTACTATATTTGTTTAAAATAAAAAAGCACCTGTTGATTATACTATACATAATCAAAATGGAATAAGTTTTCATTGCTCGTCTGCTCACTTTCTAAAACAGTGTTCAAATAATGTATTAACACTATGACTAGAGTATTGCCTACCTTGTCAAATTCATCAAGCTGCTTTACAGCCTCAGCAATTGCTTCCTGATTCTTCTCATCCCACCTTTTCTTCCTCTCTTTCTGCACACAAGCAGCAATCGTAATATGAGGAAACATAGAAAATTAGGACACTGAAGCAACAAAGGACATTACTAATCAAACTCTTGAATAGCATAACTATCAATCAGTAATTGGAATTTCACCAACAATCCGAAGGGTCACCTTCAATCTATCTGTCAGTGTACTGGTAAAAAGCTCATAAACCAATTTACATCCGACATGCCATTCTCCAGATGGATTTTTCCACGATGAATTTACAACCAATGAATTCCCTAATAATTTTCAGATCACAGACATGCAAAAGAATAAGCAATGAATCTCCAATGCAAAAATCTTACAGGAACCGCAAAATCAAATCCAAGATATCCGAAAATGAAGCTATATGTGCATCAAAAATACGCACCAGAGGTCCCAACAATGCACCCACTATCATCTGCCTTGACAACAGTTGATGTATCAACGTCTCCACTCCCAGTACTACGAGAAGAAAAAATCCAGAAAATCTACCTTCGTCAACTAGACATATAAACGTGTCACGTAAAAATACATAAACCTATCAGAATCATGCTTAATCAAGGAGAAGACCACAGAATCAATTCCGTACACACTAAATGCCCAACCAAAAAAAAACACGAACATGCACAAGTCAGAAACGAATATACTAACTAGTCAACAGCATAAATTCCACATAAGCCTGTCCAGAATCAAAAGAACTTTAATCTTCCAGATCCCCTCCCACTATTCTCCCCTATAGTTTAATTTGCACCACAGGTTCCAACACATACCAATCAATAACATCTAGAATCTTCGGTTTACCATCGGAAGTAACTTTCAGCCCATCCGCCGCCGGGTCCACACCGGAATCTAAACCAAAACATCAAATTAACAAGCAATCTTAACCAATCCTTTACGCGCCAACCCAGGTAAATTAGAGCAACAAAAATAACACAGAACTTCCGAAATAGACATACCAAAGATGGCAACAAGCACGCCGCGGCCATCGTACTCGGGGTGCGCTTCGACGAAGCGATCGGCGGCGATTTCCTTCTTCGGCATGAGTGAAGCTAAAAACGTCGATTCGTTCAGCTTGAAATTACGCAAGGCCCCATTGACCTCGCCGGAATGCATCGCCCTAGTTCCGAAACTACTACTAGTATTGTAGAACTTGGAAATAGTGTAAATCAGCTTTCTCTCTCTAGCTTTTGTGGGGGTTTTGAGTGCTGGAATGAGGAGGGGTAGAGAGAGAAATGATGAGCGAGATTGGAAACTGATTGCGTTATTAATAAACAATGGATTTTCCATTAATGTAATGATTTGCCGTAAATAAATTTTGGCAGGAGGGGTGTTTTGGGTATTTTAAATGGGTGTAGGTGTGGATTCCGGTGAGGTGGAATGAAGAGGAGATTGGAGGGATGGTTTGGCGGTGGTGATGTGGGTGGAGTTCTCTATGTTGGTGGGTTGAATTGCCTTATCTATCCTTGCATGGGAATGTATTGACTAATTTGACCCACGTATTTTGTGCCTAGGAACTTATATGGCAATTAGGCCAGCCTGTCAAAAATCTGATGATTAATGAAGTCAAAACTTGGCATATATTGTTGTATTATACATATGAGCATATAATTTATTAAATATGGATACTGGTATTTGCAAAAGTATTAAAATTGGATTATAAATTACTTTAGCTTATAATAATATACATTTTTTATTCTAATATTAATATTAAATATCGAAAAGTTTGTAGAATTTTTTTTATTTATTTAAATCCAATTTAAGGAAAAATATGAGGGTTGTTTTTGCATTTGCAATGCAAACATCATATTTAGTTCATATAACTGAAGTAGTTCAATTTCTTCAATATGTTCTAATAAACCAGTAGGTAAGCACACAAGATAAACAAAACAGAACTCGAATTTAGTGTGCTTGCAAATAAACGATTTTAAAGTCACAACTTCGTAATCAAGACGACAAACATGTTCAATCTAAACAAGGTTTTGTTCTAAACAACTTCCATAAAATAATCAGATCCAAAACTTCAGTCTAAAACAGAGACAAAGGTGAGATAAAGCATCGCAGATATTACTTCTTCTTCTCACCACCTCCAGCAGCCCTGCACGAACCACAAAATCGAGTAAGTACAGATTCTCAACTTAATATATACACGTGCACTTTAAAAGAGAATATTAATTAATTCTTCATATGAAAATTAAAAATCATGAAATTTTTCCAGAAGTTAGTAATGGCTAATTACCTCATTTTACGGAGAGCACCAGACATCTCCTCTCTCTTCCTCTTTGCCCTCTTGTGGGTGCCCAACTTTCTCTTGGCAACCTTCAATGCACGCTTGTCCTTGCCGACTTTGAGAAGCTCGGTGATCCTCTTCTCGTAAGGTGCAAATCCAGCAACTTCTCTGATAAGGCTCCTAACAAAATGCACTCTCTTGCTTGTTTTCTGTTTTATTCGACAGATTATGCAAAACAAATACAGTCAGAAAATGAACTCTAGTGCTCGTCTCCATATTTGATATTAACAGCAGTCAAGAAGTGGCAGTCAATAAGTCAACCTATCTCGACTTGCATAAAATCATCAATCATTAACTCAATGAAACCTCTAAACTACTAGTACTACCAAGGATACGAATGAAAAAGTTGGCTGTGAATAAAAGTTGGGATAAGCACTTCACTCTACAAGTTTGGGATATGTATAAATACCCTGAAAAATCACCTACCGAACAGACAACTTAGTAGTTTCATGCCTTTGCAATCAAACCATTAACTGTCAGCTTATTTTGATTGAGACTGTCACCTTACTTTGAGATACATATTGATTAAAAAGTAGACAAATACATAAATAACACAAAGCTCATTTATCTTTTCATTGAACTAATTTCAAAACTTATCTATGTTTTAAGAATACGTCAACACCAATGTTGTGTTAGAACTGTAAATAATTAAAAATAAGGAAAATGAAACTTTCAATTAGTTAAAAAAGCAAATGCAAAATCAAAAGTTATTCATAGAAACACCAAAAAAATTCACAAGCAGTTTTCACAAGCTTTAACAAACAACATCTTAAGCAATCTGAACTTTCAATAATTGGACCAATGACTGGTTGTATCAATATATTCAGCATATAAACAGTCATACATAACCAAATTTGATGGTGCAAATGTTAAAACACTTAACAGAGGTAGTCAAACTAGCACATCAATCAAGATATCAAGCTCTATAAAAAAAATAAAGGTGTACAAATTTGAGCTGCATATTTTAAGATTGACAGGTTAAATTCACTAAAAATAAATGATAAATGCAATCAAAAGGAGATACTGATCCACCAAACTGAAAGTCTACCGGAGAAGAATTGAACTTACCCCTTTCCGATCTGAAGGGCGAGGAGCTAATTCCTTGGGAGTAACAATATGCCCTTTCTTCAACCCCACTGATAACCCGCTATTCGGCTGCTTCGGAGCCATTGCCTGCATCAAAACAAAACAAAAATACAATTATGCCATTTAAACGAAACAAAAGACCAAAAAATCCTACAGAAATGGCTTATAAAACAGAAACCGAAAAATTAATTATACAATGGTCGCCTTCTGTTAATCTATACAGTCGAGAATCACGAAGAATGAATTATTTGTGCATTTGTGTTGAGAGGCGTACCGTTTTCTTCGATCAGTGTACAGTCTGCTGCAAATGTCTGGGCGGAGTGAGAAACGAATTAGGGTTTAGCCGAGCGTTTTTATATTCGAATCTGGGCCGTGGAGTTTTTCTATTCAGGCCTTTTATTGGCCCAATTAAGGTAGCAGCCCGTATTTGTAAATTGACCCGATTCATTAGTTTCTCTTTTTGGGCCCCGATTGGCTAAACGGATCGTATTGTATTTTTCTATTAATTCACCGACTTTTTTAATTATTAATTTTTTTTTTATTTTTTTTTTTAATTTCCCGAGTCAGCCGAAACACGAGGAACACAAGGAAAGCTTGCATCTGGCCTGTACTTAATTATTGGCAATCATAAAAACAAAAATCACCTCTTCAATCGCTAATATACAAAAAAATCTTATTTATTTATTTATTTAATTAATTATTTAATTTCCTTGGCTACACAAAAAAAATTTAATCTGTACTTTTTTCAGTGAAGTGATTACCAGTGGTTAGTTGAGTATGAAGCGCAGTTGACCAACTACCCCCTTCTTCCCCACCTCTCTCTCTCTCTTCAATTTCTTCTGCAATTCGATCACAACTCTCTGTAAGGATTCAAGGCCGCATCAATTTTATCACTACGATGCATAAACCCCTTTCATTCGTCCCTTTATTACTTATTTAATGCCCCAACCCCAAACAAGCAACAATTAAACCTGATCCTGATTTTAAAATTCAATAAACTCGCAAACCCCATGGGTTTTTCACGAGCTCTGATGCTTTAATTCCTGGTTTCTGGTACTTTTCGAATACTACTTTAATTTCGTATTGTAGTATTTTTCTGCCATTGATTTAAGTTGGGTAGTGAGTAGTGAAGTTCTCGAACAGTCACGCGCTCCAGGCTGGAATAATTCTTTGTATTGTCTGTTTAATTTCATAGTTGTTGGTTAATTTAATCCATGTTTCTGATTTTGGTGTGGCGAAATTGAGGCGCAACCCACTTCAATTTCGCCGCTTTAGAAGCAAAACCTCATCTTCAATTCTTCAATTTTGGATATAACAAAAAAGGCAATGTCTATTATATGTGGGCTGCCTCTTATCGAGTGCGTATACTGCATAGCATGCACGAGATGGGCGTGGAAGCGATGCTTACACACCGCGGGCCACGAAAGCGAAACGTGGGGGATCGCGACACCCGAAGAATTCGAACCAGTCCCTCGCCTCTGTCGGTACATATTAGCTGTATACGAGGATGACCTGAGGAACCCTCTTTGGGAGCCTCCGAGAGGGTACGGTATCGATCCAGATTGCCTGATTATGAAAAAGGATTACGTGGATACAGGGGGGCAAGCACCCCCGTACTTGTTGTACCTCGATCACGGCCATGCGGACATAGTTCTTGCGATTAGGGGGTTCAATTTGGCGAGGGAGAGTGATTATGCGGTTTTGCTTGATAACAAGCTCGGTAAGAGGAAATTCGATGGAGGGTTTGTTCACAATGGGCTTTTGAACGCGGCTGAATGTGTGTTGAATGCAGAGTGTGATGTTTTGAAGGAATTGGTTGAGAAGTATCCGAAGTATACGTTGACTTTTACGGGGCACTCTTTGGGGTCGGGTGTGGCGGCATTGTTGACAATGGTGGCGGTGCAGAATCTTGATAGGTTGGGGAATATTCCGAGGACGAGGGTTAGGTGCTACGCTATTGCTCCTGCTAGGTGTATGTCACTTAATTTGGCCGTCAGATATGCTGATGTCATCAACTCGATCGTTCTTCAGGCGAGTTTGCTAAATAGTTTTTTGTCCGAATATTTTTCAATGTTTTGTACCAAACTTCTATTTATTTTTAGTTTGCCCATTTTCATCTTCCGGCTTCTCAGTCGATCTATGATATCATGCTTATCGAGAAAAATATTATTTACTGAAACAGGATGATTTTTTGCCTCGAACAGCCACCCCGTTGGAAGATATATTCAAGTCTCTTTTCTGGTAAAACGAACGCCTCGATTTTATTTCAATATATACCTCTTATATTGCAATTTGTTTTAATTTTAAACAGCTACATTTACTCGGTATACAGTTTGCCATGCTTATTATGCCTGAGGTGCATGAAAGATACATGCACATCGGAGGAGAAAATGCTCAAAGATCCCAGAAGGTTATACGCACCTGGTCGACTTTATCACATTGTCGAGCGAAAACCCTTCAGGTAATTAATAATGAAGAGAATTTAATCTGTAAATTTAAATGAACTCAATCAATTCATAGTTATGAAAACTCCATTTTCGAATATAGATGTGGAAGATTCCCTCCAGTTGTAAGAACAGCTGTACCGGTGGATGGAAGATTCGAGCACATAGTTCTCTCTTGTAATGCCACGTCTGACCATGCCATTATCTGGATAGAGAGAGAAGCCGAAACGGCTCTAGAAGTAAAGTCTCGATTTTCCTTCATTAAATTACAGTGTTTATAAATTTAATTTCTGGCGTTTAGTTCTTAATAATCTGTGTGTGTAATAAAATAGTTGATGAGAGAGAAAGACCACACGTTGGAAATTCCAACGAAACAACGAATGGAGCGGCAAAAATCATTAGCCAAGGAACACAGCGACGAGTACAAGGCTGCTTTACGTAGGGCCGTTACTTTGTCTGTTCCTCACGCCTTTTCGCCTTCTCAGTATGGAACGTTTGATGAAAGAAACGACAATGAAGATTCTCAACAATCGGATTTTGAGGACAGAATCATTGGCCAATAGAGAAACATGGGATGAACTGATCGAACGTTTTTTCGAGAGGGACGAGCCTGGTCACATGGTGCTGAAGAAACCACTCGTTGCTGATTGATCAAAAAGCATTAGCAACATTCTTTCATTCTATTTTTGTTTGTATTCTTTGTATTGTTTATTTTATTTTTTGTTGTTATGTCAGAGGAAGAGTAGAATGTAGTATAGATATTTGTTGTAGTTTTAGTGGATTAATCAGTTGTAATCAGAATAAATCATTTGAATATGAAACAACTGAAATGTTGGGCAAACCCAATTAGAAAAATTGTATTTGTTTTCTAAGTTATTGTTTGATGTATTGCGTGCGTCGAACGATTTTAATTGTTTTTACTAACCTAAAATTATTAAAATAATTTTTAAAATGTATACTGTATTATCAATAAGGGTTTTACTAACCTAAAATTATTAAAATAATTTTTAAAATGTATATTGTATTATCATTAAGGGTTTTGAGCTCGTAAATTCATTTTGCCTACTTTCATAGGTGCACAATTTCTCCAAATCGTGTAATGCGAAGAAAAAAACACGGATTATCAAACTCTAACAATGAAATAACAAAATCTACTATAATGTTAGGATATTTAATATTGGGGTTAAACACACGTGAGAAAAGGACTGTGTTTAAACGG